TCCTCCTCCTCCTCCCTTCTAGCACTGATGATGTTCCCTAGTTGGGTAATAAAACGTCTGCAAGAAAACCACCCAGCTCAGAGAGCACCAAGGGCCCCACCTGCTACCGGATGAGGGAAAAAGTTGATGTCTTTTACCAGGATCCCGCATGGGGATCGGTTGCCGAATGGCAAAGACACGGCTGCTTTAGAAGGTTCGACGGTTTGGCCCCGCGAGTGACGCTTCTTCCATTCTCCTTCTTCCCTTCCCTTCTTCTTCCATCCCACCAACCTTCAGCCGCCAGCGTCACCATCAGCCCCTCTCCGGAGGTCCACGAAGGCCACGCCGTCCGCCTCTCCTGCGCCCTCAGCGGCAATCTCTCAGCCTCGGCTAACTACTCCTGGTTCAAGGGGGGCCTCCGTCTCCCGGGGGTCTCCGGGGATTCCCTGGTCCTCGAACACGTGGCCCTGGAGGACGCCGGAGCGTATAAGTGCCGAGTGGACTATCACGGAGTCAGCAAGACGTCCAGCTCGGCCTCCCTCTCTGTGCTGTGTAAGAGCCCCCGGTCTTCCCGACTCGCTCCGTTTAGTGACCGTTCAAAGTTACAACCCCATTGGGAAAAAAAGTTTTATCAAAACTCGATACAATAACCCTTTTTCACACTTTACGACCGTCGCGGTATCCCTGCGGTCACGTGATGATCAAAATTCAGACGCTTGGCCACTGACTCGTGTTGATGACGGTCGCAGCGTTCCGGGGTGTGTGTGTGTGTGTGTGTCCCGTGATCCCTTTTGAGACCTTCCGTGGGGAAGCCGAATTCACTTAACAACCGGGTGACTAATTTAACAGCTGCAGGGATTCGCTGAACAGCGGAGGCAGGAAAGGTCGTAAAATGGGGGCAAACCTCATTTAACGAACGTCTCACTTGGCAACGTAAATGTTGGGCTCGACTGTGGTCGTACGTTGAGAATTGCCTGCACCTCTTAAAATGGTCAGGGTTGAAGAAACGTGTCCACATGTCTTCTCCAAGTCTCTCCATAATGTTTATTGTTTTTCATATGTTCCTGAAAATCAGTTCTAAATCCCTTTACAAACTCCTTTATTTCCAGAAATAATCTGGTGTACATGACTGGTGCACATTATTATTAGAGTAATAGAATAGCAGAGTTGGAAGGGACCTTGGAGGTCTTCTAGTCCAACCCCCCGCTCAAGCAGGAGACTCTAGTCCAGGGGTAGTCAACCTTGGCTCTTCTATGACTCGTGGACTTCAACTCCCAGAATTCCTGAGCCAGCATTGCTCAGCTTTTCCCTCAGCATGGCTGGCTCAGGAATTCTGGGAGTTGAAGTCCACCAGTCATAAAAGAGCCAAGGTTGCCTACCCCTGGTCTAGGGGGTGACCCTTTAGCAGTCTTCCAATATCTGAGGGGCTGCCACAAAAAAGAAGAGGGAGTCAAGCTATTCTCCAAAGCGCATAAAGGCAGGACAAGAAGCATCGGATGGAAACTGATCAAAGAGAGAAGCAACCTAGAATTAAGGAGAAACTTCCTGACAGTGAGGACGATTAACCAGTGGAACTGCTTGCCACCAGAAGTTGTGGGTGCTCCATCACTGGAGGTTTTTAAGAAGAAACTGGACAGCCACTTGTCTCGAATGGTCTAGGGCAGGGGTCGGCAACCTTGGCTCTTTTATGACTCGTGGACTTCAACTCCCAGAATTCCTGAGCCAGCATGGCTCAGCTTGGAAACCTCTCCCTTTCCCCTCAGCATGGCTGGCTCAGGAATTCTGGGAGTTGAAGTCCACGAGTCATAAAAGAGCCTAGGTGGCCTACCCCTGGGCTAGACCATTTCAGACAAATGGCTGTCCAGTCTCTTCTTAACAACCTCCAGTGATGAAGCACCCACAACTTCTGAAGGAAACTTCTGTTCCACTGGTTGATTATCCTCAGGAAGTTTCTCCTTAATTCCAAGTTGCTTCTCTCTTTGTTCAGTTTCCAACCATTGTTTCTCGTCCTTCCCTCTGGTGCTTTGGTGAATAATGTGACCCCCTCTTCTTTGTGGCAGCCCCTCAAATACCGGAACGCTGCTATCATGTCTCCCCTATTTCTCCTTTTCTCTAGACTAGCCAAACCCAAGTCCCGCAGCCGTTCTTCGTATATTTTAGTCTCCAGGCCTTGGATCCTCTTAGTTGCTCTTCTCTGTACTTTTTCCAAACTCTCCACATCTTTTTTGACGTTTCCCACCTGATGTGGATGCCGTGCCCCCATAATTAAGGGCGGTCTCTGCTTTCAGATGCACCGAGGAACCTCCACGTGTCGGTTTTCACGGAGACCGAGAGGGGAACCGTGGCCATCTTCCAGTGTTCGGTGGACAGCCATCCTCCCGCCACGTGGGTCCTGTACAAAGGAGACGCCGTCTTGGCCACCAGCGGCGAGAAGGATGAGCCGGCCTCCCGTCGGGTCAGCGTCACAACCGGGCCCGGCACCCTGCGCGTGGAGATGACCGGGGTGGTGCCGGAAGACGAAGGGAGCTACAACGTGACTGCCACCAATGCCCATGGATCTGCCTCCCGACAGCTCTACTTTCGGGTGCAAAGTGAGGGTTGCATTTGTTAGCCTCGGGGGAGAGGGGGGGAAACTGACCCTCACCCCAAATTCACACGTCTCTACAGCGAGTCCTCAACTTAACAACCGTTCGTTTAGTGACCGTTCAAAGTTACAACGGCGCTGAAAAAAAGGGACTTAGGGTCGCTTTACGCTCTTAAGAGCGTGGCGGCATCCCCATGGGGTCACGAGATCGAAGTTCGGACGCTGGGCCACGGGCTCGTAGTTATGACGGTCGCCGTGTGTCCCGGGAAAGAGGCCACGCAATCATCCCCTTTGGCCACCTTCTGACCCAGGAAGTGGGATTTGCTTAATGACTGTGGCAAGAAAGATTGCAAAATGGGGCAATGTTCACTTAACGGCCGTCTCGCTTAGTGGCTGAAATTTTGGGCTCAATTGAAGTTGTAAGTCGAGGACTGCCTGTATTATGGTCTTTGAACAGTCTTTACAATTTAATAGTAATGAGAGAGAGAGAGCGAGTAGACAGATGATAGATAGATAGATAGATAGATAGATAGATAGATAGATAGATAGATAGATAGATAGATAGATACAAAGATGAGAAAATAGATAGAGATAGATAGATAGATAGATAGATAGATAGATAGATAGATAGATAGATAGATAGACAGACAGATAGATAAAGATGAGAAGATAGATAGATAGATAGATAGATGATAGATAGATAGATAGATAGATAGATAGATAGATAGATAGATAGATAGATAGATAGATAGATAGATAGATAGATAGATGGATGATAGGCAGAGATAAAGATGAGAAAAGATAGATAGATATAGATAGATAGATAGATAGATAGATAGATAGATAGAGATGAGAAAATAGATAGATAGACAGACAGACAGACACAGATAGATAATAGATAGATAGATAGATAGATAGATAGATAGATAGATAGATAGATAGATAGATAGAGATAGATAGAGATAGATAGATAGATAGATAGATAGACATAGATAAAGATGAGAAAATAGATAGATAGATAGATAGATAGATAGATAGATAGATAGATAGATAGAGATAGATAGATAGATAGATAGATAGATAGATAGACATAGATAAAGATGAGAAAATAGATAGATAGATAGATAGATAGATAGATAAAAAATGAGAAGATAGATGAGAAAATAGATAGATACAGATAAAGATGAGAAAATAGATATAGATAGATAGATAGACAGATAGACAGACAGACACAAATAGATAAAGATGAGAAAATAGATAAGATAGATAGATAGATAGATAGATAGATAGATAGATAGATAGATAAATAGATAGACAGATAAAGATAAGAAAATAGATATAGATAGACAGACAGACACAGATAGATAAAGATGAGAAAATAGATAGATAGATGTAGATAATTTCCCCTTCGCTTATGTATTTCCTTCCCTCCCCTTCTTCTCCCCTCCCCCCCTTCCCTTCCCTTCCCTTTCCTTCCCTCTTCCTCTCTTCCCTCTCCCTCTCCCCTCTCTCCCCCTCTCTTCTTTCTAAGTGCAAGCGTGCCTTTCCTCCAGTTATTCCTCAACATGTCCTTCCATTTTCCTATTATCCCCTCCCTCCCGGGATGCAGCGGCCCGGATCCTGATCACGCCCTCCCCAGAGGTGGTCGAAGGGGACCAGGTCAGCCTCACCTGTGACGTGATTGGAAGCCTTCCGGAGGAGGCCACCTTCTCCTGGTACCGGAACAGCAAACACCTCCAAGGGGAGGCCGAGGGCACCCTGGCCTTCCTGCCCGTCACCCGCCTGGACGCCGGAGCCTATTACTGCAAAGCCCAGACCGCCCAGGAGGGCAGCCTCAGCATCTCCCCGTCCGTCAGCCTGACCGTCTTTTGTAAGTGCCAAAGGGCTGGATTGCCTCCAGATCCCTCTCCGATTACAGGCTGGGAAAGGTACCTCTGGACCTGAAAGTGGGGGAGCCCCCCCCCCGTGAACGGCGAGAACAATTAGCCAGCGGAACTACCTGCCTCCAGAAGCGGTAGGCGCTCCAACAATGGAGGCTTTTAAGGAGAGATTGGACAGCCACTTGATTGGGATGCTATAGTATAGGGTGCCTTGCTCCATCAGGGGGTTGGACTGGAGGACCTCCGAGGTCCCTTTCCGAGCTGCCTTCCCATAGTGCCTTCCAAGGGTACCTGGAGGTCAAGAGGTGTCAAGATGGTGGCCCCCCGTGATGTTTTCAAAGCTCACAGAGCCGTCTTCTCTTGATGACAATTTGTAGAACCACCGTCAGAGTAATAAACAGAATAACAGAATTGGAAGGGACCTTGGAGGTCTTCTAGTCCAACCCCCTGCTCACATAGGAGTCCCTATACCAGGGGTCGGCAACCTTGGCTCTTTTATGACTCGTGGACTTCAACTCCCAGCATTCCTGAGCCAGCATGGGGGAACTATGCCTCCATTCATGACTCGTGGACTTCAATTCCCAGAATTCCTGAGCCATCATGGGGGAACTATGGCCCCCTCATGACTCGTGGACTTCAATTCCCAGAATTCCTGAGCCAGCCGTGCTGAGGGGAAAGGGAGAGGTTTCCAAGCTGAGCCAGGTTGGCTCAGGAATTCTGGGAGTTGAAGTCCACCAGTCATAAAAGAGCCATGGTTTGCCCTAGCCCTAGGCCACTTTATGACTGGTGGACTTCAACTCCCAGAATTCCTG